GTAAATACTATAACCTTAGTAGATTTAGCCAAAAGGAAGAACAAAATTACTTGTCGTAGCAAAAGCAATGTAATATTCAAACAAATGCCTTGAAATGCTTTTCCCAATATTTGAAGAAATGAGCAGTTTTTCAAGTATCATTCAAATTAAGCAAATTAGCATTTACTTGGCTTATTTTTGCTAAATTATTTGTTTTTGAATTTGAGTTTGAATTTGAATTTGAATTTGAATTCATGAAGTGCAAAAGTTCAGTCTTCACTTTTTTGTCAGCTTAAATTTATAACAATTTTACATTTATTTTTTCAATTTTAATTACTGATAATTTAATATTAACTCATGATAGTAAGTGTGATAAGTACTTGATATGTATTTAACTATTTCAAATTAATATAAAACATACAAAAACATGAAATGCTACACAAATTATTTGTTCATTTTAATAATTTGTAATTATTTTATTTATTTTTATTGTGTTTGTAATAAAAATGTAGTCAAAAATATAATATTAATACTAACTAATTTAACAGTTGTTGTTATTCAACTACATAAATATTACACAGCTGTTACAATTTTCTTGCAACAGACAGCAGAAAGGTTGAAAGTTTGTTCACAAAGTTTAATTTTTAATGTATAATGTAAAAGGAAAATTATTTTGCTCTGAATTACAACTTTAAAATTTTTGATTTTGGAGCAATTGAATATTCAGAATAATACTGTCAGAGCTAAAGTAGAAAGTGAATAATGTCAAAGGTCATGTGTGATCTGTTGGAATGCTTTTCTAAAGCAAATGTGATTTACTTTGCTCTGTAGCCATCTTCTAGTCTAAGCTTTCTGCGTACTTTAAATACTACAAGAAATTTCATATTTAAATTCAATGCTAATAGTTTATAAATTTTGCCTATAATATTTACTTTATAATTTGCTTATAATTATTTTTTGAAAGTTCAAATTTTTAAACAATATTTTTAATTAAAAAGAATACACTGACTTTTGTAATAAATTAAAGTAAAGAATGGTTTAGACGAACGCTTTCCATAATCTTTTACTACTTTAAAAGTAATTTGCTCGTATTTGTCAAAGGTTATTGTGATTTTTGGTGATAAAATTAGCAAATAAACTGATAACTGATTAATGCTTAAGAAAATGCATATTTTAAGAAAAAATAAACTTTTTATTCTTTTTCAAACTAAAAAGTTGTGATGACAAGAAAATTTGGACATCATAAATGCACAACTGTCGTAAAATGAAGAAAAAGGCTATTGATGTTGTTTGTTGAAGAATCTGAAGAACTTTTTAACAAGCGATAAGTGAAGCTTTGCTTCAATGGCCAATATTCAAAAATATACTAATAATAGTTGAAATGTACTATATTATTACTGCTATGAAAATATACCAGTAATAGCATGCTTTAATAATAATATTCGTAAAATTAACAATAATAATATCAATAACAATAATAATAACAATAATAATAATAATAATAATAATAATGATAAT